GAAGAAAGGTGTGCTGAATAGCATGTACTTCTGAAAATACTGGAAACTTTGTTACACATATTACCTCAGTTCACTAATCATAAAGATGGGAAAATCTCACTAATTCCATTAAAAAAACAACTGACAGTACCAAAATCCCAAAACTTCTGCGCTATGTTTCCAGATTTCTACTGAACTAAGTATCGTGCTACTGATTCTGGACATTTCTGAATAAGAAGAATGGCCTATCTGTCATCTTACAGGTCAGTAAAGAGTGTGGACACACATGACAGAGGAGGCTCTGATGCATTTCAGAAAGGTACTAAAGCACAGAAGATTTACTGGCTTTGTTTTATTGAAACAAACACCACCAGTAAATTTAGCTGTGGCAAAATTTAATAAATGAGGGCTATTTATGGACTACAACTCCCCAAATCCTATATCCTCCAGTTCCACAAGTTTATTTTAGCCATGTGAAATTCATTTATGACCATCAAAATTACGGCTTTGCAAGTAGTAGCAAATTTACACAAAAAGATGCTGTTGGTTTTTTGGGTATTTTTGTTTTAAATTTAATCCACTACAGATGGGATTGTTCCAATATTTAGCGCTCAGAGCACATGAAGGAGAATACCAGGTCTTTGGTGAACAGGAGAGGAAATAATGAAATATTATGTGACACACAGATATGCATAGAGAAAAAATACTCCCAAAAACCCATGGCTAGAGTTTTCACCAATATTAATGAACCAGACAGAAATGGAGTAGGGAATATCACTCATCTGGATTTCATGAAGGCAGGTTTGATTTGCAGAAGTCAATGACATAGTGGAAAACTATTAAAACACATTAAAGATTGGCTAAGGGTCAGGAACATCAGCATAAGATCAGGTTTTTAATTTATCTAGTGATCTGAACTGAACTGGATAGTCTGACATAAAACCAAACTCTATTCTGTCAAAAGAAGAGTCTTATAAAACAGAAGATAAAGTGTCCTTTTAAAGTGACTGTTTGAAATGAAAATATTAATTTCTTCTCCCTCACTTTTGCTAGGGTAGAAAAGGCCATTTTGCTATTCTTACAGGGGACAGCTGAAATTATTGAATTGTTTTGGATATGGCTTTGTATTAGATATTACTTTGATACTATGGTAATTTTTGAGCAAAGTGAGTTTGATTAATGTGGACATCAAAACTATTTTATTTCCATTTTTGAGTAAAAGTGAGCTTATTTGGACAGTGATACTAATACAGAAATGTGTTATTAACATACAAAATACCTGAAAAAGTAAGGGGAGCAATTCCCCACATCTATAGACTATAGGAAACAACTTTCTTCCCTTCTCAGAGTATTAGGAATTCACCACAGATTATCAGGGAGATACCATGACTTCTATGGGTCTGATGAGTCCCTTTCTGACAGCTGTTGGAGATTTCACTGTTATTTCCTTGGGTACCAGACCTAACAGCTTACCCATGAGAATTGACTTTCCTGCCTCTGATACTGCTGCTGATCAGGAATACTTCACCTTTATTTAAGGCCAAATCCATCAATATATCATTAGTTATTTAGTGGGGTTTTTTTGGTGGGTTTTTTTTGGTGTTTTTTTTTTTTCTCTCCACTAAATGCTCTGATCACTGCATTACTTTCACACATCTTTTAATAATCTTTCCTAATTATTTTGTACTCCTTGGGGATCTTATATACTTAATGCCCTACAAAGAGTGCTTTTCCACTTAAATACACAACGTTGCAATTTTCTTATAAAATGGCTATGAAGGGAAGTGGTTTGCACAGAGGAGGCCACTAAGCTTAAATCTCAAGGACTGAACTTTGTACCCACTGTACTCAAAAATACTCTTTAATAGCTTTAACACAAAAAACTCGAACCAGAATTGCATTAATGAAAGCAATATCAATATGCAGAGATTTCACAGTATTAAAGAAATAATCTTGAGAGCTAGAGTAACAAGTGAAACAATTCAGATTACAAGGTCATATGCCTAGAATATAGGAACAGGAATTTCTGTTGCATGCTGAAGTCATCAACTGAAATTATAAAGGAAAACATATTACTATTTGATTAGCAAGAGAGTCATCAGCATGTTCTAGTTACAAAGGAGAGGCATTTCTAATATACATATAGAAGATTGCATGTCACTGAAAAAGTCACTGGTAAAACCTCCTATGAAAGAGCATATATAGTTCTGACTAATCATATTTGCAGAAATAAGTTTCCCTAAACAGAGGCAGAAATAGGCTAGGAAATGGAAACCCTATCATACTAAAAGAGACTAAAAGACACTGGCTGGCTTACTTTTCCAAGATGAAGACAGGATTAGAGGAATGCAAGATGGCACATGAGATGGTGAACATCACAAAGGAGAATTATCAAAGCTGAAGGACAGCACTGGTGAAACAACAAAAGCAGAACTTGCTGTGAATAAATTTAGGCTGAAAAGAGAATGGTCCCAGCTCTTCAAAGAATGAGCTTCTGAAACGGCATCCTCATACAAATATAAGGGCAACGGGGTTTAAGATGGAGCTTGGTAATGAATAAGACTGCATAATGCTACCTATTACAGAAAAGAACTGCATCTGATACATGAAATATCTTACTGTCCTATGTTCCTGTCACTTTTCCCAATTCCTCTGCAGCTAAGGTGCAAAAAAGTCTGCAGACAGAAAGCTGGCAGGAGTCTGGGGATACAACCACCCATAGTGGTGCCTTGCTTGAAAAGAAGCGCCGTGTACACGGGGTTCCACCAAGGCCACCCAGACCAAGTGGCAGCACAGCCTTCCCTGTGCCACTCTGCCTGCCTGAGCCAAGGCTGGCTGCAGAGAGCCAGCACAGAGCAGCAGCTCAGGACCCAGACTTGTGCACCAGACCCTGCTGGATGTGGTGACAGGAGCACGGAGTCGCACTGTTTGACATGGACACTGCTTAATGAACGCCCTTGGCCATTAGCAGTTAATCTGCTTGGATTTTAGTTGATGGCTTGAAGGTGACACTGAACTTGGCATTTCCTGTCATTTTCTTCTGCTGTCCTTTTCTGCTTCTTACTGTCCTGTTTCAGGGACAAAGTAACCCAACCCAACTGAAAGCACTTTTCCATGGGAGACCACATGCACATTTTCACAGCGTTTTCTGTAAGACCTTTTACAGTTCTTTGTTACTTTTCCTTTATGCTGCTCTTTTAAGGGATAAAGTTTCTTCTGCGCTATTTCTTCTTGCAAGGCTGACACTGGTAGGAAATTTACCTGAGTGTATTCTGCTGTTCTTTTACATGAATATCATAGTTATAACCGATTAAAAATTTAAATCACATTCTTGGTGCTACTGTGAAGGTGCACTTCAGGTCCAAGAATTTGTTATGAAGCTGAGAAAAAACCAACATATTTGGAACGATGGAGTTGTTCCAAAAATAAAAATGCAGAAAAAAACACTGGCATTTTAAAAATTTTCAATATACATGCTCCTATTATATATCAAGAGTCTTATCACCACAATGTGTTATAATACACAGACCTATCAAGGTAATACTTATATTCCATAGAACAGATTGTGGAGCAGCATAAGCATACAAAAACCCAGTTCCTCAGAAGCCATTCTAACACTCCAGGATGATCTAACCAACTAGATACTTTACATCTTTTAAGCAGAAGATCAAACATGTCACCAAAACCCATCCACAGTTCTAGCAGCCTCACTTAAAACGAAGTCTTAGAGAGAATTAAAACTGCATTCATCTTGGTATGATGTAAGACTATTGCTGCTAGAGGCCACGTCCTCTGAGGTATTGAGCACTGCCTGAGGAGTCTATGAGTTCTCATCTTTCATCTGGGCATATGGGCATATGAATATTCCATGCTATGCCAAGGTCAAAAGCCAGGATTGAAGTGCTAACCTGGTTTATATTATAATACTTAAAAGCACCACACCCGATCTGGTTCTCCTCACCTAGAGTTAAAAAATCCACTACTTCCTTGCAGAACTGTGTCTGCAGCTAGCCTGAAGACCCTTGTCCTTATGCTACAATTTTTTTTCTTCTTGCTATGCATATTTACCCTTAGACAGCATCTAGCTCTTACCCTCATCTGCCACTTCACAAGCTGTCAAATGACTATTCAAGCATTAAAAAAAATGAAGGGTCTGTTAAGTCGTAAATTAAATGACAGTCTATAGCTGAAAATTAGCAGTAACGTGCCCAAAACTTTATTGATTGCTAAGAAAAGGTGAATAACCCCCCCTATGGCTGACTGTGTAATTACTGACCTTTAGAACCCTAGAGCTATTAATTTAAGAAGAGATAGCAGTGAACTAGCAAACGAGTTATTTTGCAACAGGACAGTAAAGGCACGTATCAAGTTTTTGCATGTGTTCAGTGCGACCTTGAATAGTACTGTTACATGCCTATATTTTCCATTTTAATGCAGAATAAATCCCAAGCTACATCTGGACATAAAATGCTTGTCAACTAGTTCAGAAGATCCATGGGAACGTACCCACAGATAATGTACTGAGGCTTTTCAGTACATTTGAAGAACTCCACATCCTTCCAGAAAGGTTCTAAATTACTGCTAAAGGCAGGAAAATTGTATTGCCAAGCTCAGCCACCCTGGTACACGTACTGCAAACATTTCATCTGTACTCTGAGAGATGGAAATGGTCAGGAACAGGAGAAGAGCAGACAGGAATTCGACATCAGTACAGTTCCTTTACTCTGGGGATACACACACACAAGCCCCCCCCCCAACCTCTGTTGGTACTGCTGAGTTTAATCTGTTATAGACTATTGCACAATTCATAGAAATAGTAGCCTAAAGACTATTAGTGCAAATGCTTCAGCAATATTTAACTTTTTTCTTTTTCTTTTTAATAATAAGCACTTATGGAGAGATAGTTGCCTTTTGACAAGTGAACTACATTTTAGGAGCATTGGTCAGGTGGTGGAGTTTACAGTAAGAAAATTTTAAAAAGACACATTAACTGGAAGTAATGAAAGAAAAAGGTGTCTGACCTGATGCAGACGTCCTTCCATGAAGAGTAGTTTCATTAGGCAGGAGATCTTTTGAGTTGGAAGTGAATGGTGATTGTCTAAATGTGTCTTCAGAAAAGAAAGGGCTATAGGAAAAAACAAGATGCCTTTTTTTAAAGAAAACAGCAGTTAACAGAAGAAGTAAATACGACTTTTGACCCCAACATCTTAATGTTATAACAAATACCACCTTATTAAAAGCCTGTCTCATTTACAGAATTCATGCTGAAAAACAGGCAGACCATGAGGCAAGTTGTGGAGAAGCAGAATGCTTTAGTAAAATTGCACCTCAGGGTGAAAACTGAAGTCCTCGCAAAAGTCTTTTAGCTACATTTCAACATCTTAGATTTGCTATATATCACAATTCAATATGGATCATTAAAATTAACACTTCAAAAATTTATGCTGTCATATCTGGAGAAGGCAATCAGAAAAGGTAAAAAATATTATTTAATAATCTGAGGCATACAGCAGTTATCTTTAAAGCAAAAAACTTTTCAAATTTTAGGTTAAGATGCTTAATAGCTCTATTCTGACACGGCATTCCACGAACAAAATTAACTCCATGAGTTTAATTTTTACAGCAGGAAACAATTCATATAACCTAAATGAATGGGTACTTCTCAAAGAGTATTAACTACAAAAATTATCAGCTACTTGATTCCAAAAAGCATATCTTGCTTTGATTTTATTTAATAGTCAGGAAAAAGTTAATTTCAATAGTGAAATGGCATTTCCGTTGAAGTATTTGTTTTCTACTCAATTAAAGATTGTAAAAGAAATAAGAATTTCTTGTCTACAGTAGAGACATAGGGAAGAGGTACATAAAAAAATAAAAACGTTAAATGACAGTATTTCTTGGAAAACTGTTTTCTAAGGCAGTGTATTCCATCTGCATGCAAACTATCAATTTCTTCAAAGTGAGAATTACGTTAAATCTGATCTCTCTCAGATAGAGAATCCTTAACAGGCTGGTGTATAGTAGTGTGTTCTAAAGGTTCAAGGCAGGAGGCCAGATCATTTCTGCAGCCTGTTCTTATTCAGTAACAAAATCCAAGAACTTTTTCAGGATAAAGAACATACTACGAGGTCTTATGAACCATTGCACAGTGGGCAGCCCAGACTCAGAAAGCACATGCCAGCAGCACCAACCCAGTTGACCCTACCAGTCCAGATACCCAAGGTGTCTGTCTAAATAATGGCACTTGCCTATGTTGTCCCTTATGCAGTTTTTCTGCAGAGGGGGAACAACGTGTTCTCCACCAAGTCACTTGTGTTCTCAGTCAGATCTCATCTGCCTTTGGGAAAGTTGATGATTAGTTAACTTGATCATGAAACACTTCTGGCAATCACATTGTTTACTTCCTCATTAAGTCTTTTTGGACAGTAACTGTGAACAGTCAATGTTAGGTTGTGCTGAAGGGTAAGGCATGAAGTTGCCCCAGACCTGAACAGCTCAGTGTATGCTGATAGCTGAACAATGCATAATACTCAAGAAAACAAGTGAACAGGATAAAACAAAACGGCTCCAACCCATATGTGCAAAACTTAACTTCTTCCAAGACTCACACTCCCACTCAGGGGTGACATAATACGAAACAGACTGACACTGTATAAAAATATGGCACGATTTATTGCAACATTCCTCTCACTGGTTTAATAATGATTTGAAAGAAAAACATCAATAAAAAATGTTTTATTACTATTGTAACTCTTCAAAATCTTGTAATCCACTCAGGTTTCCTTCTTGGCCGTCCTGTTTGTGCCTGAGATTCAGTCACTGGGACACTGCTCATTGCTGGTTCTAAGCAAAATGGATGATGCAGGGCTTATCTATTTCAGGCTAGGCCATATATCATGAGTAGGTTGCTGTAGAAGGTTGCATGGTGGCATATCCCAAGGATTTCCCTCTCCGCCATCGGTCTCTGGTGAATTACAGAACCATCCTTGGATACCTCTTTTCTGCCTTCCTCTAGAATGGCAGCTGAGTCTCTTCACTGTTGGCCCTATTATTATTTCTATTTCAGCAGATATGTCCCCCAATTTCCAGTGCAAAGTATGGAGGGAGGAGCTCCTGCTTCATAGTAAGAAATAACATAAATTGTTCTCAATCACTGTGCAAAGTCCTTTCTGATGAAGATTAAGCTTTAGGATTTTTTTTTTCCTCTGGCTGCACTTTTCCAGTTTCATGGCTACACAGTTCTCTAGATGAAAGAAACTTATCTTGGCATCTTACGCTGGCGTACTCACTTCCAGATCACTTTTGCTTCTCCACTTTTGTCTTCTTATCACAGATGGCAGGCTCTACCATCTCACTCAGCCATTGAACTGTGAGGAATCCTTGCCAGTTTCGGCTGCTTAAGCAAAGTCATATGGAAGTATGTGCTCGCAAAGTCCAGGAATACTCACAGGAGGAACAGCAACAGATAGGTGACAGTTAGAAATGTTAATAAGGAATAAGACAGCAAAAAGTGCCTGTGTACCCCATCTTGCTGGGTTTTGCTGATTTAAGACTCACCAATGACACAGTTTAATCTTTCTGCTCCCCAGTTACTTACAAGTGGACAACACTGACCTCACCTTGGCTCTCTGCAGCTGTCAGCAAATTTCACACAGCAATTGTGATTCAAATGCCTTTTTGTCATTACTCCAGATGTGGGTTGGTGAGCCAAACTGCAACACCACATGTTTTCTTAATGCAGTCCAAGTGCCTCTATCCTCCACTGGCTGCTCCATCACATTCTATTTTTGAGAAGGCGTCATACCCTCACCAGTAAAGACTTCCAGCTGTTTGGGTTTGGGTGGGGTTTTTTTTGGCAAGGTCTTTCAAGTCAATCTGTTTGAACTAGCAGGAGTTAGTAGACTGACTCACTTCCCCTTTAGAAGCTCACCTCATTCATGTCTTCTTCTGTTGATAAATAGGCGAGATAAGAAAAGCACTCAGAAAAACTGAAGCAGGCACTCAGCATTTTGTGCCCTGATAGGTAGCAGCCATTATAAGGACATCTCAGTAAAACTCAGCACAAGTTTGACAACAGCCAACTCTGCTACCCTCTTAAAAGCTGGTAGCCAGAAGAAGGGGAAGTTATCCTTGAGCTGTCCTCAACCTTACCAATTTGAATTATCTTTGATAGATCCAAAAGTAGTTCTGGATTCTCACACCAGTCCTGCTGGTAACATCATGAGACACTGAAATCTATTTTCAACTATTTGTCACCCCTTCTCTGCAATGCACACTGGATGGTTAATGAGCAGCTGGACAATATGTGCATTTATCTCCATTCGTATCTCAAGCTTATGCTTTTTAAGTAGTCACAGAAAGCTTATGCTTTTTAAGTAGTCACAGAAATGCTATGCAGGCTGCATATCCCACAAATTCCCAAACTAGCAAATATGGGAAGCATTCACTGTGACCAGAAGCTAAATGCTCAATTTCATTATCTTTCAACTTATAACATAAAAAAGTCCCTGATGTACATTTACTGAGTTGGTCAGTTTATTAAAAACAAATTATTTATTTATTGCAGCTACCATGAATGAATGTGATAGGCCTAGAAATTTAGGGACAATATATTTTAGAGATCTTTTCTTTGCAACTGAAATGCTTTTCAATTCTGTCTGGACAAGGTTGTTTAAAGTTAGCAGGCACTGGACACTCTGGGAACTTCTGTAGAAGGGGCTGCAGAGGCACTGAAAATCCGACTCTATCTTTGAAGGAATTCTTCGTCACTTCAGTGTGCTCAGTGTCCAACCCATCCAAAATAATTAGGGAACTTTCAGGTAGGAAATAAATGTATCCTTACCAATTCCTACCTGCTCCTCATCATGGGCACCTAAATCTCTAACAATTCCAGCTACCACTTATTGCATGAGCTTTGAATACTCCCACAGAGACACCTCACCTTGCAGCTCACACACGTGTAGACAACTCATGGGCTTGTTCCCAGCCACGGCACTGTTAAGTGCATATTTCTTTAACAACACATGCTACAATTGGATCATGTTTTTAATTCCTAGATAATTTAAATTGTGTTAATGTGACTGCAATCTTTAACAATCTTTAACAAATGTTTTGATAGTACGGTCTTGCTTTTAAAAAGTCATCCCTAGAACGTATTGAGATGACAGAAATACTAAACCGAAATTTTTCTAAAGAAGTCAAGTTTGACAGTAGACAATCAAAATCACCTCTTCTTACATTGGTCCATGTCTTAAAATCCAGTTATCAGCTTGGTCTGCACTCAAGCACTGCATACACTATGCAGTTTCTTTTAAGTTTCAGTTTTTGTTGAAAAAAATAGAATAAATAATTCTTAAAATGATGTGTGAATACTTCATCAGAGGAGGACAGTCATTTTGGCCCAAAGGGCTTTAACTCTAAGCAATCAGCTCTGTAGTTGTAATTTCTCAGATACAGGTTACGTTACTCATGAAAATATCTTACATTTATAGTATCAGGTCACATTTGCAGGAGACAGACACATTTGAGTTCATGAGGCAAAATGAAGCAATGCTATCTACAGAACAGCTTTGCAAATAACAATGGACTGTACTTACCTGGCTGTAGTTCTGATGGTGTTGTCTTTATTGTGGTTGTGCTCTTTGCTCACCTTTTCTGCAGAGGAACATACATGTTTTTCTGTGATTAGCATGTAACATATATTCCCCTGTCAGATTTTACTCATCCGAACTATTTTAATGCTTTCAGATAACAGCATAACCCAGAGTAGTTTAGGGTAAATGGTTCAAGCATGATTAGAGAATGGGTATGACTTTATTTAAGCTAACGCCCAACACATTTTTTCAGCTTCATATATTGGTGTTAGTGCTCCATGCAAAGTGTGCAGTACAAGTGTTCATTAAACAGAGTGCTGGTACCACTGCCTCTGTGTGATAGCTGAGCTTTACCTTCTCTGCCAACAGAATTGGACAGTGCAGCCCCAGGAGCAATGCCTGCTGCAGCCACGGGCCATTTAGGCCAGTAACTGCCTATACTTGGAGTATAGGTTTCCCTGTAGTCCAAGGCCTGGATCAAACCAGTCATCACAAATGACTTAATTAGCTTTCAAAAATACAGGAGTTGAACTCCGGCTTTTCCAACTCAGTTCAAATGCTGTGAACCTGAGCTGACTGGCACAGTGCTTTAAAGCATATGCTTATTATGGGGGACACTTGGCAAGGCTTCTGTATTTCAAATGGGAGGGCAGAAGGGCTCTAATTCCCATTACTTTTCAGCCTTAGTGATCTCACACTTTCATAGCACCGTAATGGTTAATACAGAAGTCTCGTTTCGTTCTTTAAATGCAACTAACTGATTAGTTCCATTGCTTTTACCTGATAACTGGAAGAGCAGCTCAGATGCCATCTTCACTGATATATCTTGGCTGAACAGATTTCTTTCTGGGAGCACACGGCCTTCTGGTGCCTTCTGTATCCGTTCACTAATGTCTCTCCCTAATAAAGTGCTGTAGCCAACATTTTGGCTGGGTTGGCTGGGGGACGCTGAAGCCTGCGAGTCATGAATGTCAACTTCCATTGGTTCTTCCTTTATCTTTACCATCTGGGTTTCCTTGAAACTCTCAGCTGCAAATATGTATTTAAAGAAAAAAAAACAACAAACAACCACCACAATTATTTAATTAGGCTACAATTTTTTCAGAGCACTCGAAGCAGGAATCACAATTACAAAGATATAATTTGTATACCATATCACTGCAAATGGTAAGAGAAGCAAGCAGCTGACTGCCTCAGTATTCTTCTGGCACTTATAAATAGAAGCAATCTCTTGAAAATAATTTTTCAAACTAGAGAGCAGAAAACAGTTGCATATTTGTAAACATGAGAGTTGTATCACTTTCTATGAATACTGTGTGATCACACAGCAGTTCGCAAAGCTTCATTTCTATTTAATAAATGGAGTTGCAACTACACACCAGCTCTCCTAAGGTGGGCACTGAAGACCTCTTCCAAACTCTAAATTACTCTTTATCAGCAGAAGTACCAGCATGGATAGTCAGAAGTATTGGTATGGCAACAGGATTGGAGGAGGAAACTTAATCTGCTGCTTTTCCTCTCTCTTTCTCTTTTACGGAAAATTCCAGACAACTATGTGAAGACCCTATTTCTTATACCTGCATATACTTTCAAGATAAGAGGTGTATTCTGGGGCTCATGTTTTTCTAAAGTCTGATAGATATTCCTTCATACATTACAGGATCCATTAACTTAATGACCAGTTTTCATAAGTCCATATTCTCCCCTCCCTCCTTACTTTCCTCTCCAGTGTCTCAAGTCTAGCAAACAAAACCATATTCTAGAAGCCAATTTGTAGTTCACTTTCTACACTTGAGATTCCTTGGGTGTTGCTGAATGCTCTGGTTTGGCTGCAAAGAAAGTGATAATTTTTTCTTCAGAGTAAAAGCTCTGAAACCTCACAATCAAGGCTCCAAGGTAATTTGTCTACCACACCCCAAATACCTATACAGCCCTTTTGATTCAGACTTTCTGTTGTGAAAAGGGACAATGAAAACCTACAGAATTTATTCTCAATTTAGTTTCAGAGAAAGATGATTATTTTTTTTTCTAATGATTTTCATTCAGAGCACTAATAAAAGGACACTTGGTACCATAGCAGAACTGTCCAAGTAGGTGTTGCCTCTGCTGGCTGGATGCTGACCAAAAACTCCAGAAACAGGCAGCCTAAGAAAGGCAATATGCCTGGAGAATCAAGAAAATAAATAAATGCATGAACACAATTAAATACCAGGAGGCACATTCAGATAAGGAAACATTCCGACGAAATTGTATATGGGATTTATTAATTTTGCCTAAACACGTACACATACTTCTGGTACTAGCTGAAATAGTGAAAACCTGCAGGAAAATCTGCTTCTTTTCACTCATAATTAGCACTAAATGGTCACTTACGTAGCCTCCACAGCTGCAGGAAAGGGAAGATCTGAATTACTCAAACTTCCCGAGCCAGGAGGAAAAGGCACCCAGGAAAAGAGGCCACAGTAGAGGGCAGGGACAGACACACTGCAGCACACAGAGCCAGGGAAGCAGAGGGCTTGGATGCTGAATGGATTAGTAAGTGAGAGCATTCTGGCCCTTGTCCAGACTGGGGAGATGTGATCAGCTCTATGACCATGGGCCAGCACGTTAACTGGTGCAGACAGGGGCTGGCCACCCCGAGAGCATCAGGTCACTGAGGGAGGGAGGTACTCTGCACAATGAGTTTTCTCAAATGGAAGTTTCCTTGTCATCTGTCAAATTTTACTACTTTGAAGGCTCTGATATTAAAAAGAAAAAAAAAAAGAGTACTGGTTGGTAAGAAAAAGCCTAAACACAAGCAGCATTACTCACTTTAGGTCAGTAAGGAGGGTGGGTTTCCACTAACTTCACTTGATCAATTAATCTGTTGCTGCTCTGTTTTTCCTATCCTCTCTAACTCACATATGACTGTGTCAGCTGCACAGATCTTAATTTAAGTGTGAAAGTTTCAAACACCACCAGGCCTTTTGTTTTCAATTACTCAGTGTTACAATGAATCTCAGAGGTACCAAAACACGGTTTGGTTATCCCCTCAAGCTAGTCAACCAGTTGGTGTCATCTTTTATTCTGTAGTGATAGATGAACAGAATCCCTTTATCATGAAGGCATAAGCATTCTATCTAAAATTAAACTGATATGTGTCACCAAGTCCCTCTTCATTACCCTGGTTTATCCTTCTCCTTGAATTCCTGGTGTAGAGAAAAAGTGTTATTACTTCCTACAGCTCTTAAAAAAAAAAAAAAAAAGAACCCAGGAGATAAGAGCCACTTGGGTACGTTCCAGGAACAATTTACATGAAGTGCTTTCAATCTTTTCTTATGACATTTCTTGACCTTTAAAAGAAACACATAAACATTGATAAAAATCTTTACCATCTACTATCCACAGATACATTTCAGACTTCAGAAATTTTTATAGGTAGAAATAACATATAATGCCCTTTTTTTTGTACTGTTAAGCAGATTTTTTATTTTTCTTTATTTTATTTAAAGCTTCCATTAGTCCCTTATTACAAAACCACAGAACATTGCATCTGCGTTCAAAAGTGTAAAAATAGCATGCTGTGCATTGAAAGTGAACACAGAACAGCAAAGGAACACATCAGGTAACGCTGTCAATCAAAAGCTCAGGTAACTCCGCAAACAAATGAGTTCTTTAGATGTCTGACAGACTGAGCTCTGCACCCAGCTGCCAAATTTAGGTGCAGAGTAAGCTGACCTCTGCTGCCCTCTCTGCTTTTAAAATATTCTTTCTATTTCTGTTCCTGTTCCACACAGTTTAATTCCCTGCGCTGCAAACGCTTTTGTATCAGACAAACCGATACGACCCCAACTAAGGCAAGAGTCAAGCAATACCGGTGACCTTCTCTCCCTCATCATCAGTGAGCATTCACAAGGTCCTCACTAAATCTACATATTTGATCATTTTCTTTGACCTTTATCTTCCCAGCTGTACCCTTTTGATGGGACAGAATGACTGCCAAATGTGAATTCTGTCATACTCCGATTCCCAAAAGCAAACACACACAGAGAAGATTGCAGGAGGGTTTCTGATAATTTTACAAGAGCTAATGAAAGGGAAACACAGTCAGTCTGTCCCACGAGCAGCAATCACAGGCATAAAACCCCACTGTGCTAGATTCCGTGCTGGTAAAGACTGTAATTAAGGTTATGCCCATATCCATCTCACCATACAGGCAGGCCAACTATAACTTCTTGAAGATTATGTTCCAGTCTGTGCTACACACTGTTCATGTGTGGAATGAAGTGACACCACTTATTTCCTTACATAGGTATCTCACATGGTCAAAGTGCGGCTAAAGTTTTTCAAGTGAAGGACAGGTACACCAAAAGGTCTTCTGGTTCAAATAAAGAACATCATGATATCTTTGACTTTCATAGCAGACATACTAAATGAGCTAGGTTAAATAATCTGCAATGTATCAGAATACAAAGTTAGTACATGATAGCCTTTTTTTTTCCCTCATGTCTAATTTTTATAATAGCACAGACTTGTAATTCCTAGGAAAAATCAGTGGGGTATAAAGACACAAGTAGTTCTGGAGTATCCAGACCATGATCTTCTAAACATGGTTTGCTACTCATTCAAAACTAACCTGGATGAAGCTCCAAACAACAGTACAGCAGTGCTGGGACAGTTCATCTGGCAAAAGATGAATTAAATCACCCATTATGTCTTTTTCTGTTGTTAACTTTGTAATACAAAACCACCTTAACAAAATAAGAGAAAGTTATTTTATGCATGGATGTGCTTTCATCAAGCCACAGAGATGCTATTTCTTTACAGAGCAGTATAACTTTTAATCAGCTGATTTATAAAAGCCTTAATGAACTTCATCCTATTCACATTGAGTGAGACAATTTTCCACATCAGCTATGAAAAATGGAGTACTGGACAGGCTTGTTCCAGGAGGATGAGCAAGGAATCACAAAGTAGGGGTACCTGCTAACAAAAAAAAAAAAAAAAAAAAAGCCGAACACAACAGAAACACTGAGCAATACTTGTGCTACCTAAAAGTTCAGGGTACAGCATTCACCCCTGAAGGTCTGACAGTGTCACCTCAATAAGGTGCAGCAGTAAGAGCACTCTGAAATTTAGTCTTAGACAACACCCCTGCACAGCCTAAGACAGAAGTTGGCAAGTTTTAGAAAGAGCTTATTAAAGCTACTTCTCTCAGAGTTCAGACTACCACATCCAACCCAAAGTGTGCACAAGTCAGCAAAGTGTCCTTGGGGCAACCAAGGCCAACCATATTCCAGGCCACATTAGAAATCTGTAGCCACCAGGCAGAGGGAGGAGATTCTTGCCCTCTGTTCTGCACTTATGGGGCTGTGTTTAGAGTGCTGTGTCCAATTTGAGGGTCCTCAGTACAGGACAGACACTGATATCCTGGAGCACGAGCAGTGGAAGGCCACCAAGACAGTTAGAGGGCTGCTGCAAGACATAAGAGTAGAAGAGCTAAGCAAACTGGGTTTGTTCAGCCTTAAGAAAACAACATTAAAGGGGACATTTACTGCTGTCAACAACTCTCTAAGGTATAAAGAGAAGGTAAAGAGAAGCTAGAGTCAGACTTCTCTCAGAAGTGCACAGTGAGAGTATGAATTGACAGACAAGTTGGAACAAGGGGAATTCTGTCTATACATACAAGAAAAAAAAATCACTATTGGGACAGTGGAATATTGGCCTACATTGCTGAGAAAGGTTGGGTTCTCCATTCTTGAACACGTTCAAAACTTAGTAAGGCCCGCGGCAACCTGCTCTTGTTGGATCTGCTTTGAGCAAAAGTCTGGATTAGATGAACCCTGGAAGTCCCCTCCAAACTAAATTAATTCATGAACTTCAGCACTGAGTCAGCTGCAGGTTTATCTTGGTGAACTTTCAAAACCTCCAAGGAAGGGAAAGCTACAGCATCCTTGGGTAACACTTCTAATGCAGCACTAGAAATTTTTCTCTAGTCCACTCTGAACTTTCCAAGCCGCAGCTGGCAGCTGTCACCCCTTTCTTTACCA